TTAGGACGTACCCGGACAACCTCCCCGCAGCCCGTCAGCTAGACCACTCGGTTTACCAACACTTGTTGGTGGTGCACTTGACACCAAGCATCATCCGGTAACTGGACCCTCCGCCAGAGGCACTTGCCTCTGCTGAGATGACACTTGTCAGAGCTCAGTGGCGCACTCGCTAACCAAACTTCATCGGGAAAAAAACACAAAAACAAAAGAAGATAACGTGAACCCTCCGCCAGACCACTTGGTTTACCACCACTTGGCAGTGGGCCACTTGGACACCAGGCATCATCGGGAAACAGAAAAGGAAATATCGGAAGACCCTCGGCCACAGGCACTGCCTGTGCCATCACTTGATGGTGGCGCACTGGCAGCCAAACTTCATCGGGCAGAAAGAGAAGTGAACGAACCAACGAAAGCAAAAATAACGTAAACCCGTCAGCTAGACCACTTGGTTTACCGGAGAGCCGGTGATGCACTTGTCACCAAGCATCATTCGGGAAGAGAAGGCCCCTTGGCCATAGGCACTGCCTATGCTGGAACTACCAGTGGCGCACTGGCAACCAAGCTTCATCGGGGAGAACAAAGAGGAGAAGGCTAGACATTAGAAGGAGGATAACAGGGTGTGTGATATAAATAAAGAAGATGAGAAGAAGAGACGGGAAAAAAGAGGAATACACATGAATGAAGAAGAAACAAGATGAGAAGAAGAAGGATGAGGTGAGTGCGAAGGACAACGAAAAAACCAAACATGAAGGTAGAAAAACAACTGACAAAAGAACAAGACAAACTGAAAACGACAAAGAGAAACAAGCAAGCATACCTGGAATCAAATCCCCCAAGTGCCGACCACGGGGAGATGCCCAGGAACGCATTGAAGTGAGCCCAGACAGCCTTCCCGCAGTCCCCCTTCGATGTTTTTCAAGGCTTCACAACGGCCACCAAGAAAAAAAACACCAAAAAGGAAACCACCCCCCTCAAGTTCCCGTCAGACTGACAATGACAAGTCGCATATGCGTTCCTCAGCGCAAGGAACAAATGCTGGAAAATATTGTTTTTCATCATTCGGGAAACAAGAAGAGGACCCCCAGAAAACTCACTGCCCCCAAGTGCCCACTGTCCACTGCCCACTCTCTGTGCCTGTTGTGTCTGTTGTGCCCATGTGCCGACCGGACTGTTTCCCAGTGCCACCTGGTGTCCGTTATGTGCCATGCCGTCTTGAAAACCCGCCCAAGGAGGATTGCCTTTGCAAGCTCTCTCTCCCTCTGTACCCTCCAGGCAGATTGCCAAGCTGCTTGAAGGCCCGCCCACAGAAAATGCGTTTTCAAGTCCGAAAATGTGCAAGTGTAGCCGCTCTTGCCCCAGTCGAGGATGGGTTGATTATAGGTGCCACTGTGCATGTGTTGGGTGTTGGGTGTTGGGGTGATGATGACTTGAAAACCCGCCCAAGGGGGTTGCCAAGCTCCTTCTGTACCCCCCAGCAGTTGCTGAAGGCCCGCCCACAGAAATGTGTTCTCAAGTCACGATGTCGGGGAGGAGGATGATGATGAGGTGTGTTGAGTGTTGGATGACGAGGGAAGTGATGGATGGATGTGTCTGTGTCGCTTGAAAACCCGCCCAAGGAGATTGCCAAGCTGCTTGAAGGCCCGCCCACAGAATGTACTTTCAAGATGTCATGTGTTAGGAGTCTGCGTGTATGCGTGTATGCGCGCGCCTGGTGTGTGTGTGTGTGTGTGTGTTGGGGATGTGTCGAGGAGTGTCGATGTCGATGATGCCCACCCAGGAGAGTTTGCCAGGCTCTCCCCCCCCCCCAAGTGCCGCCACAGCACAAAGAGTTCCACCGCGCATCATGTGTGAGTGTGAGGTGTGAGTTGAGAAATGAGAAGTCCTGATTGATGAAGATGGTTAGCTGATGTTCGACGATGACGCAAAAAACAGATGATGATGGTGAAGTGATGCCTCAGATACAATCCTTTGTCTGCATGGGCGCGATGGCCTTGGATCAATGACAAGTCTCGGATGTATTATCATCATTGGCAATGGAAGTGATGCGAAACTGAAGGAAGCAAAGAAAGAATGACTTACTTGTGTTGATGATCACCTGATCAGGTCGATTGATGGTGAGCGACGATAGTGGAAGACGAAGAAGAAGGAAGATCATAATCATGAAGGAAGAAGATGATGAAAGGAAATGATGATGAAAGGAAATGATGATAAAAGGAAATGATGATAAAAGGAAATGGTGATAAAAGGAAATGATGATAAAAGGAAATGATGATGAAAGGAAAGATGATGAAGGATGAAGAAGGTGATGAAGTCTTGAACGCCCGCCCACAGAATGCGTTTTCAAGAATGTGATGATGAAGGAAGAAGGTGAAGATAAAGGTGAGGGGTGATGGAAGAGAAACAAATACCTGTGCGTGTGTGCCAGACGACGCGACAAGTGTGGGGTGAAGAAAGTGAAAGGTGAGAAAGGGAATAAAGAAAAGGGAAGAAGGGTGCCGGTTTGTGCAAGAAAGAATCCAGGGAAGAGAGAGGAGAGGAAGGAAGACCACCAGAGGGAGAGATTAAATAGAGGGCAAGGCTGGCGCGCCGCTAGCCAGAGCTCCCCTCTGCCACTCGTCTGAACTTCTATTGGTCGAGGGATCCCTATTGTCGACGGTTTGGCGACCGGCAAACAGGTTGGAACGGGCGGGAGTGACTGTCAAGGGCCGTCTGGACCTGGCAGCGACGTAGTTGACGGCCCGGAGATGGGAGAGGGCAGATGAATATGGCAAGATGACGAGTTCAGATGACCCGCCGAGGGCGAGCTAGGGCCAGACAGGGCGGAAACAAGGGGCAGGATGGGGCAGAATGGGAAGGTGAGGGAGCTGTGAGGGCCGGATAGCTTCAGTAGGCGGCCAGCGTCGTTGACGAGGGCGACGGCGACGGCCTCGTCTTGGTGCTTGGATAGATATACTCTAGTTAGTTGTAGATAGATCTTCATGAGACCAACTTCTGTGCTTTGCGCGCCTCGTCGCCGTCGTTGTGGTGAAGTGCGAGCCTTTGATGGCCTCATCACCTCCAGCAAGGTCCTTGATTGATTTATTCCAAGTGTCTCGAGCAGACTCACAAGAGTCCAAACCATGTCATGCCTTATTAAATCACTACAGCAACTGATTTACGCCTTGAGGAAGGGTATGAACCTCGAAGTTAGCTGCGGTCACCGTGGTGCGAGACTGGAGGCGGCCAGGATACTCAGGATTTACGACACGATCTTGCGCGGGGCGCGACAGAGAAACACCAAGCAGGAACATCAGGAGCACAGCAACATTATTGTATTTCAGCCTTTCGTACGGATACAACAGATCCTCACAGTCAACGATGACATCCTCGAAGTTGGAGACCTCCAGCTCGTGAGCGACCGTCACTTCCACTTCATGCGCGACAAGATCGCTGAAACACCGAATTCAACACTACGAACCTGATTCAATCATCAGCGGTCACGTGGGTAACTGAACTCACGTTCTTGAGCAGAGGAACCACTCGAGACACTCGCGGTATACACAAGAACAACGGCCTTCGACGGCTTGCGACCGACGACAATTTTACGCCTGGAGCTTTTCGACCCCGCCATCTATCCCGGCAGCCATGGCAAACACTTGGCTTTCCTTCCTCCTCGCGTTTATCTGGAACATAAACAACAAAACCAGATACATTGTAATGCTGTAAGCTGACAGCCATGCTTCTACCACTCTCTAGGCCCTTGATAAGATTGAACTCCAGTTGCAATCAGCGTTTGATTTGCCCAGTGTGAACGTTCACTGACGTGTTAACTGCAACGAAGGATTTCGCCGACGAACAGACTCGAGCGAGTCAAAACCTCCATCACCAGCGGTCGCTCACTCTACCTCTACCGATACGAGTAAGTCGACCTCAACAAAGGAGGGCAAGGCAAATACGCGACACTCAAACCGCGAACTGCAACTCGAACTCGTAAGAACCTAAAACAAAGCGTTACGAGCCCTCGGCGGATTTCCTCCTAGTCGAGGAACAAGTATAACCAGTCCAAGATTCCCCTCGACCACGACGAGCGAACCTCTCCTTCCTTTATCAAGCACAAAACAACCCCTTGGGCCCGCAGTAAGAACCGCGCCGTCCAAGAAACAACACCCCAAGAGCAACAAACCAACACCAGACATTTTGCGGTTGATCCAAGAAAAACAAAAAGGCCTGGACAGCTTGACCCTGGCGCTGGACTCGCCGGAGCCGGTGAACGCGACGAGAGTACAACAGAGGGGACGAGAAAACATAAGGTAGACTGGGCTCGGCTGGCACGCGAGTGTCAATGGATTAATAACTACACAGAACCGTATAACACAGACAACATGAAGGGATTCAAGCACAGGTACTTGACAGAGGCCAGTTGAGCGAAGCAGAGCCATAGAGTGAAGATGATGTACGAAAGCTCAAAAGTGGATGTCGAAGTAATTAGGTACCTCTACCAAGAGTGCATGGAAGCCTGGTACTGGGATGGAGACAGACAAATAAGTTGACTCGAAGACAGCTTCAAAGAGCGAGGAAGAGAGAAATGTGTCACACGGACATTGCCCACACTCCTGGATTTGAAGTTCAATAGAGACTCAATGCTTGAAATCAACCCAACCTCGCCATACAATGCCAGCCTTGCCTCGGCCAGTGTCACATGGACATTCGCCGGTGACTTTCATCAGTCAAACTGCCGACCGGAATTACCGACGGGCAACTGGACGAAGGCTGGCATTCAGAAGATCTACTTGTAGGCAGATGAACTAGATAGACTCGCACCGATGCCTGGCACACAGGGCTCGGTACGTACCAACCTTCTTTGGTATAAGAAGGCCTTGAGGCCCGACCTTCTCATGGAGGTTGAAAGGATCAACAAGGCCTTCGAGACCAAAGTAGTTTATCAGCTGAATTGAACTACTGTTCCAAGCCCAGAATACTGCCCTTGTCACAAAATGTCTGGAATGTAACCAGTAAAGGCACATGATGCCTTGTTGGCGGTTAGAGAAACGAAAAGGGTTCCGTGTCAGAATACATCAACGATTCAACGTGAACTCCGTCTTCCAGATTTACAACTTGTGGCCTGTGCGAAAGTTCTGAAGTTGATTGTGCCTAGAGTCAGATACCTGATCAGAGAAAAGCCGATGGCAGCTTGCAGTTAGAGCCTGATACGGCATGAACACGGAAGTGTAGACAGTGAGAAGTAACTCTGCTCCTACCCAGGTGCTCGCTTGAATCTGTTCTCTAATGGCCATGATTATTGGTTGTAGAGCTAGACCTTTTTCCATCATAAACATGTTAATAAGTGAATTACCATACCAATATTTGACCATCTAGTAGATGTACCAAGGAGACTACCTGGTTCGTCTTGGAAAATAAAGAGACAAAGAAAAGTTTACCGTTAAAACTTTCCTCTTCGGTGAGACATGCTGGTGGTAATATCAAACGAATGGATTGTATTTGGATGAAACAAGAGCAGGAGAAAACCGGTAGTTCTTTTTTGGCTTGATCACTTGAACTGCCAAAACTAGAACCACTCGATTCTCTAAGGTATCTTCGATTTCCCAGCTCTCCAAACTCTGGCAACACTGGTTCCCAAAGCTCACAAAACCAACCCCAGACGTGAAGCACGACATGTTCATAGACCGTTTAGAAACCTCATCCGACCCCATGAGTTCACTCGGTTAGTTGTCCTCCTCGCCCACTTAACTGATCTGCTCGGCTTCGATGTTTTCGTCACCTGGAGGCACTCGTCTCCAACCCCATTTCCTCATCTCCGATCTCCATGCACAAACCTCGTACACTATCCAAGGCTCTCCTCTCGCTCTCCGTCTCTCGGTTACCCTTCATCGACGTTGAAATTGGACCCAAAACTTGCTCCTGACAATGTAAACAAACCCCTGCCAAGCGAGGCCTTGCCCGCCCATGGTTTGTTTCGATCGTGGCTGCCGATTCAGGGGCCAGCCAATGGCCTGAAAGCCCACTGGAGCTTCCAGCGCCACCAGATTCAGGGGTCTAGTCGTGAGGTGGGGCGGCGGTGGCGCTTGCCAAGCATGGAACATGGGTGATTTGTTGACTCTATTCAGGAGTCGAACGCTGGGCCCTGGAGACCGACGACGACACAATGTGGGCGACGAAACCTGTCAAGCTCGTATGGATGTGTAAAGGGGAAGCAAGTCTCTCTTGGAAAGTTGTCGGATTCTCTGGATGATATCCACGGGTGTCATGCTTCATGGTAGTTGATGGTCGGTGACTCGGTGGCGTGGTTCCTTTGTCGATGCCAGGCAGGTACGACAGGCCGAGCCGCGATACCCTTGTTCGCAAACCCAAATACAACGACATGCCATCGACGGCAGAATGTGGGACGATGTTAAAAACAGCCCCAGAGTGGTCCACAGAAAATAGAGGTCGGGTTATGGGACAATCTTCGAAGACTTTGCCGAGATGGTATGATGATGCCAGCGTCCATGTCGTGGAAGGCAAAACAAAGAAAATCGGAGAGAAAGGCCACCATGCTGTGGAGTGGAATGCTCAGATTTGATACAGCAAGAATCGATTGGCATGGCTGCATGCAAGATGCGGGGTGGCGGTCATGCTTGCTACTCCGGGGAACTATGGATAAAAACGAAAGGTTGTATCAGTGCTCGGTCACTCCTAGCTGGATCAACTGGGCAGAAGAACTGGGGCTAACCTTCTCCAGCTCGGAACGTCAACGAGCTTGCCGCCGTTAACCTTGATACCTATCTAGAGGTAGTCTTTCCTTACGATGCGACACACAAGATCAAGACCTAATGAAACTCTATACCAAACCGAGTTGCTTGGTTGAGATAGGACGTCAAAGGTCGAAAAATGGGCTGTCGAGTGCACGTCGAATGTTGTGGGGAAGGTGGGAATGGCGTTCAGGGTACATGGCAGCACATGTTGATCAAAATGCTCGAGAACTCGGTCGGAGGCATGCGGTGCCGTTGGAGAAGCATGGTCTGCATTCATCAATTAATTGTGGGATTTGCTAAAGAGCTGCTTCCGTGCTGGCTCTTGCTGGTCCTGCTTCTCTGTTTCAACCCTTTCCTGCTCGGCTTTTCTTCCCGCCGCTGGGAATGTTTTCAGCCTAGAGCTCGCCAGTGGATATGACCTCCCCCGGTGTTTTGCTCAAAAGCCATTGACAGTGGACAGTGGCCTAGACACTTTCCCGCGGTAGCCTGTTGCCGGGATGTCAACGTCAACAGCCTCGTTCTGGTTGTTGGACTGGCAGGCCCAGTTGACACGGATTTCCTGTATGGTCTCCAATGGTCAGCTTTGCTTCACGGGAGCATGGCCGAGGGATCATGGTCTAGAACGGACGAACTTACGGACTGATGCACGCGGCAACCGTTAGTTGTCCATGCCACTTTGCTCTTGGTCCATTCCGACCACGGCCGATGCCTGTCTTTACGGGATGAATGATCTTTCGCGAATAGAAAGCTTAGATGGCCCGTCCCGGTGGTGGTTGAGGAGGGACGGGGACCCGTGTTGGGCTGATGGTGTCACCAGCCGGCCGGTTTGAGGAGTAGAGTTCGACGCGCCGTCTTTTGGAGGAGCGAGATCGTTTCCTGACGACGATCATTTCGACCCTGAATCTACCCCTGTTAGCTTGACTGCTTGGACGACATGTTGCCCCATGGGACGCAAACTTACCGTTCTGTTGTCGACTCACGGAAGGTCGAGCTTGTCACGCGCCACAATGAGCTTCTTGCCCTCGTAGCGCTCACGCATGGTGTTGAGCCAGATGCGGAGTTGGGGCCAATCCGAGTACCGCTTGTACTACAACTGAAACGGGGACTGGCGTAGAAGCTGAAGCAGGAGAAGAGCCTGGAGCTAAAGCTGCTCGTGCTGGAGACGGTCTCAGGCATGAGTGGACGTATCGAAGCGCGATCGGAGTAATCGATGTCTCGGTTCCATCAACCACAAAGAGAGAACAGGATGCAGATGCTGAAGGTGGATGACTAGGTTCCAAAGGAGGAGCAGGAGGAACTTGAGGACGACAAGTCACATGACTCAGTTCAAGCACTGGTGGCTGGAGGGGTCGCCTCGTTCCTCGTTACCTAGCTGTCGCCAACGGGGCGGGGGCAACTGGACGGGAAGTAGGGTAGTGCCTTCTAGAGCATCGAGTCAATTTCGCAGCACCCTGGTAGCCGTCCATTAGGCCGTAAGTAATGTGGAGTCTACCTCTACACGGTATGGCCTGGAGAGGGCTGGCACGAAGGACGGGATCATTGCCCCGGCCTCGCTGTGGGCCTGGCTGGCAAGGAAAGGTAGGCAAGTGACCACGAACTGGAAGTCACCGTCTTGATACTTGACTCCACTACCAGTTCCTGAAGTCCCGTATCATCGATATTTGGTCAAGGACCGTGCACCCTCACGAGGACGTCTCCGTCAAATTCTTGTCGTTACTCTTTCCAAACGAAGTTGACCCAGGAGGCGGGAGCAAATTGTGGCTATTGGAAGTTTCAACTTCAAGGCCCAAACAAGTTGAGTCTGGAGAACCTGGGTACCTACATGTAACCTAGAGAATCACATAGGAAACAGAGTTGCTAAATTTCCCCCTTCCTGTGAAAACCTTGCGTCATGATTTTTCTCTCCTTCCTAGGTCAAAAGCTGGCGGGCACCATTCACAACGGCCATTCACAACACAGTGCCAGTTGACCCAAAAATGTACTTGGAACACAATACAGATGGAAATACCACATCCTGCACACCGACCATTAGTCCCAAGGGCAGTTTAGTCCTACAAGCTTTTGTGACTCTTCCCTTGTTTGTTGCTGAAGGTCTCGCATTAAGTTGGAAGCTAGCGTTCCTTCCCCTTACTTGTTGAGAAGCTCACGATTGGTGTAGATGTACTGCTTGAAGGTTGATTGTAAGTGGAAAGTAACAACTGCAGTCACAGGTGGTCAGAGTACCCCGTTACAATCATGACGAAACCTCAGAGAGTCACAGGTGTAAGTAGAGGTATAAAAGCTTCCTTCTCGCCTTCCATGCCTTCCATCTCCTTTCATTTTCTTTCCATTGCAATAAATAAATCATCATGGAAAAAACCTACATTGGTGTTGAGGTGTGAGGGCACTTTGAGAAGAGATGACAGGCACTTGGTCGGATAAAGCAGTTGGAAGTGTCACGTCTTAAACTCAAGTACCAGCCTCATATCGTCTGGTCTCCCTAATGTCTCCCTGAGCTGGATGAAAATGATTTGGAGGACTCGAACAGAATTTCCCAAGCACGCATGGTACCTGCCATTCCCAAGGAAGAGTCAAGCTCCCAACATTGAGTCCCAGGTCCAGAGAAGTACCCAAGTACCTCAAGCTGCTAGCCGCCTGGCAATACCCGTACAAGTTCGCTCCTTCCGCCATTCACTTGAAGATTGAGTAACTGCACTCGCCTTGTTCATCTGGTATCTGCCTGGTGACGAAGACCATCGAAGACAAACCAAGAGGCTTGCCCTCCCCATCCCACGGATTTGATTTCTTTATAAAGGCTGCCCTCTTCCTGTTCCCTTCTCCTCCATGAATTTCCTCCCCGCAACACACATGCAATTACACCAACACATCAACTACCTCAACCACCATTGCTTCTTGGGCACAATTGTACCCATCAAAAGCAACCTCTATCTTGGTGAGGATAGTTCGCTTTCTTTTAGTATCCCACTTCACTTTCCTAACAGACTCTGTCTGGTCAGATCCATTCGTCGTCAAGCTGCCTTTCGTTGCGCCATCATCCTACCACGCGCGAAACAAATATCCGAAGCGATATGGAGGTAAATACAATTACATTCTGATCCCTCAGATTCGTCAAGTATCTATGCTAACATTGAACGTTTCATCAGCGCCGAATATACAACCATCGTGAGATGCAGGCTGCCTACGGCCTGGTCCAGCTCAGAACCGGCCAGCACCAGCCAACTCCAAGTCCGCCAGCCAGCCCCGCTTCAAACCTGGAGCCCACTTCTCCTCCACCGGCCAGCCCCGGTCCAAACCCGGAGCCCACTCCGAATCCGCCGGTCAGCCCCGGCCCAAACCTGCCCGCCAGGCCTGAGCGCGCGCCTGCTACCGCTGCAGCGGTGCGCAACCACTCTGCCCCTGGCCACGTACAGGCAGCTGGTCTCCCTCCAAGACCTCGCACACCGGAGGGTGGATGGCGCAGGGCCATCCCGCGTGCGGCTGGCGCCAACCCGGCAAACCTCCACCAGCAGCAACAGCAATACCGGCAGCAGCCGCAGTACCAACCTGCCCCTGCCCGCCGCAACTCCAGCCGCCGCCGCCAACGATAACGGCGACAGCAGCAGCTGCAATACCAGCAGCCACAGTACCAATCTGCCCCGGGGCCGGTGATGCCCTACCACCCTACCACCATCACCACAACCATCACCACAGCGGTTGCTCTTCCCGCGTTCCCAAACGCCCCCTCCTCCCCATTTCCATTCCGTGGGATATGTCAGTTATCAACAGTGGCAGCAACCACAACAACTGCAACGCCCAAATAATGGGCCTCGCGGCGGAAACCCTGTCGACAAGGAGAGCATCGTCCCGCCGCCGGCGCGGCGCCATTCTCATAGGCGTTGCCGCTGAGCGGTGGACACGATAGGTGGTGCTGGTGGCCGTGGCGGTCCAGTGCTGCGCCTGGTTGACGATGACGACGATGACAACCGCACATGGCGGTCTGGTGCCTTTCACTGCTATTGTTGCGGGTAAGAGTGCTGGGTTGATTTTTGGATGAGCGTTAGCTCGGCTGCGGCTGCGGCTGGGAGAGGAAGAGGCGGTAGACATGGAGGAGCCGCAAACCTCGCAAGTATTGGCGGCAGCTTCAAGACGAAGGAGTCGCAACATTGCTCCTGTTCTTCGCTTCATTGTTTTGTATTATTCTTATATATTAGTTCATCGCGGCGTTGATCGTCTTCAGCCAACTACGACAGCTGATTAATAGCCTAATTCGTTAATCTCCAACTGCCGTCTCTAACTGTTGCTTCATCATCGTGTTCTCGTGGGTGCCATTGCACCCAATGCGTCTTCCTCGAAGTAATGCCGCTCCCATTTTGCGCTGTTCCTGTGCTTCCGAAATTTTTACGTGACGTGCACCAGAATTGTCTTGCTGGAATCTTGTCATTTCCTCGTTTCTTCATGAAAAGTGAAGGTGGAGTGGTACCTCTATTGGTCAAAGGACTCAAAATTGATGGGTCAAAACACGGCAAGGACACTCGTTCAAAACATCACGAAAACGTCCAACAACTACAATACAAGTGAGTCAAGAAAAGATTTGGAGGTCGGTGTACATGTAGGGAGGTCTGTAAGTGGTATACTAATCTGCTTTCAAAGTTGAAAAAGGATGTTGGTTGAGATGCAAAAGCCCTTCCGGTCATGGCGCGCTACACCAAGCACTTGATCACGAGCAGCAGCCAGCAATGCAGCAATGGACATGATTTTTCTCAGTAGACTCTTTGACATTGCGTATTCTATTTCTAGGTGGACTCTATGGTACAAATAATCTGACGTGTCTCCCATGATTGGCACTGCTGTACAGATAGGTAGTCTGACAATGTTTCCTGTGAATGATTCCTTCTGCCCCCCGAATCCGATGACGTGCTCGACAGGGAAGCCCTCTGAGCTCCTGGGCGGCCTTGGTCAGCACATCGCAGGGGTTGGTGGCCACGATGCGAATAGTGTTGGGGGCGTGCTTCGCGATCTGGGGCACGATTTTCTCGAGAAGGCCGTTCTCTGGGTTCATGTTAAGAAACATCTCGAATGAGAGCAGCTTCTGACACACGCCCCTGCGCCAGGGCTGGGCCATGGTGTCGTTGGTGGTGGTTGCGGTAGTGGTGGTAGTGGTGGTAGTGGTGGTAGTGGTGGTGATGGTGTTGCTGGGAAAACAACAAAGAAAACACGACAAGAGAGGAATGGATCGTTGAACTGGTAGTCCGTCTGATGTTCTGGTTAGTACAACGAAGTCCTCTTCATGAAACTCGAGCAGTTTACTCACGACTGGTCAAGATCTTGTAGTCGACATGCTCGGTTTTGGTCGCGTCCAAGGCGGCGGCTAGGACGGCGACGCTCAATTCGATCTTGAGCTCGGTCGCAAGCTGGTTGTAGTATTGGACAAGATCCTCGGGCTACTGTCAAGCAGCACTCGTGAGAAAGCTGTGCGCAGCTGTGCGCTTGTAGTTGGGAGGGAAAAAGAAGAAGAAGAGCAGAAGGAGAGAAAGAAATGGAAGCCTGGAAGATGTTGAGTCTGGTGTTAGTTCCGCTTCACTGTCGGACGGCATGATGGATCGCGAGACCGACAGTCATCTCTGGAGTTCCACTTACAGAAGCGAGCGGCACCCTCGGTGCGGTCCTTTTTCGCCAGTCGTTTTGTGCTGTTCCAAACTGCCCAGTTGGTACTGGTATGCCCACTGCTTCCTTTGCTTCGCTCAGCGTCCCCCCTCAGGGAGCTGAGGAAAGTGCTCCTCCACCGGCGGAATTTTAGGGTGGCAAACAACAGCCAGGAGATGTAGTGCTTCTCCTGGCTGTTGCTCTGTTGCGGCCAACGGGGAACTGTGTGACAAGACCAGTTAGAAATGGTTGCGAGAGACAAACAAGAGAACATTCACTCAAAGCAGGCGGGACTCGGACGCCTTACGCTCCGTTAAGTCGCGCGTGGTCTTGCCAAAGCCGACGTGGACCCATTCTTACCTTGTTGGCTCTTGATAGCCGCGAGAGATTTCGAGATGTGGAGGTTGTAGTGTTGATGACGAGTTGTGAAAGGGCACGATGGGTCCTGTCTCAGCGGCGTTGTGTGTGTGTAGCCGCCTAACTGTCTTTGGCAATGTTCAGAGAAGTTTGCAACGGGTGCCCGTGAGGGAGACTAGACCTGAGTCCTCAATGTTAGCCCCATGCCAGAAGAAGTACGACGAGGCAGGAGAACTCTGCTCCAGATGGTACTCACATCCGCGAGTGTGACTCCGCGTCTCAACCAGGTTGCACAAGGAAAGGGGGGGAAGACGAGCAGATAACCAGGAGAGGTTGAGAATAAACGTATCCCAGGGCAAAGCTTGCTAGGCTGTACGCCCGGAGGAGGAAGCCGTGAGAGATCCTGAACTCATGTTGTTGTTGGCAAAGAAATTCTTGGGAAAGGTGGTGTGTTGAGAGGTGAAAAAGTCGTGAGTGTCTGGTGTGCATGGGAACAAGGGCTTAAACACCCACAAGCAAACCGACACCAGACCACTCACGTGAGTTACTTCCAACGCAACTGCCCGGAACCCGGACACTGCCTTCCGTGTCCGAGCCCCAGCCATGGGCTTCAGGTATCGTCCCATGCTGATGCCTGGCCGCGTCGAAATCCTTGGCTCCCGTCCTTGCCAGCTGCCCTGTCTCGCTGCGCTGTGGTTGGACTGCCAGCGAGCTGCGTGCTCATTTCCATCTGGGTCGCTCCTTCCCCGGCAGGAGGTATATGGACAAGGGCGATACCTGATTCGTTCAACAATTGCGCGGTTAGTTTAATGGTCAGAATATCGCTCCGTAAGACCGGGACAATGAGCTGTGGCGGCACCGGCAAGAACGAAGACACAGGTTCGATTCCTGGGCCGTCGCCTACCTTCTCCCTTTTTGCAATCCTGCGCTCCGCTTCTGGATGTGCACTCCCCTGGTGTATACTTCGCTGAACAAGTTCGAGTTTGTGACTCGAGAAACCGTTGCATTCCATTCTTTTGCGATACTTGATATCACACTGGTTTTTGACTGCGACTGTGTTGTGCATGGATCTCCGAGAAAGTCAGCAAACAACCGAAGTTTATAGCCCTGGAGAAGCTTCTTGTTTCTTTTTGTAACCTCGTCTGTGTCAACATGAACATGAAGGGCATATCACGTAGTTGTCTGGTATCATTCCACACGCAGAGATCCGGGTGCTTGGGAGGCTGGAAGGAGCACGATGCCAGTACGAGCGGAACCTCAAGATCGTCCACCGCTCCTTCTCAACGGTAGAGGCAATTAGCAAACTGGCCTTGCGTAATGGAGGGGAAGTCAACTACCTCATCAAATGTATAGTTGGAACTCATCACTTGGTCTTAGCCAGAACTCCTATCGCGGTCAATGCCCAGATCGCTCTTAGCAACGCCAAGAAGCCGCATACCTCTACCGAAAGAGAGTGTCACCATCGTCAGTGACGAACTAGAAGAGAGACGACGCCGCCGCCTCCCCAGTCAACAACATCGATTTTCAAGCTCCCAATTGCACCGGATCTAACGAGAACGAGTCGGAGGGCACACTGCCCCTCGCTCGTAACTTTCCCCGGCCCAAGTCCCTCAAAAGACAGTAAAACCAAACCACCTGGGATTCTTGCCCTAAGTCCTGGCAAATACTTGGGAGCTTGAAGCTCAACAACATCCTAGGTAGGTAGATAGGTAATAAGAAATGGACCACAGTGCAGTGGAAAGGACTTTGTACCCATGATGCGTGGGAGGAAGGCCTCCGACTGGACAGCTGGTTCAAGGCGGGCTTTACACCCGCTCAATTACAGGCCTCGAGGGCCGCAATGGAGGGAAATACCAGAGAAAGCAGAAACAGGCAAGAAAGAGACCGTCGAGCACAAAACAAGTCAGTACGTTGCCGCACTAACGCGGAAACAGGTGAAGAGATCACATACGCTCAATGGGCGGCATCTCATTTTCGGATAACCAAGAACTCTTTACCCCCCTCGACCACGAGTGGCACAATGCCCTTTGTCAGAGGGGGACTGGAGGTGAGGAGATCTTTTCTACTGCGCATACTACCAAGGTACTCTTAAAGTTAGTACCGAACCAGCAGATGATCCGGAACATCCAGTACCCAATTCAAGCGTCAAAAGGCGGCAGCGGAAGGGGTAGCGCACTTCTCCAAAGCCTTGGAGGAACAAAATTAGAGCAACAGGAAGGCGTGAGGGAGCTGCTGTCAGGAGGGATGCCACCAATTCCAGAGGAGATGATACCTTCGTCTCCTCTGCTTGTAGCCCGCACCACTCGCTTTTTGTGGATCATTTCCAGGGCCAGTCTAGTGGTCGCGTCTAGGTATCTTTCTTTGGATGTACTTGGCGGCCAGGCGTGCGAATTTCTCCGGGCGCGGCATCTCGGGGTCATCGAGCGGGGGTAAGTTGAGAATACGCCTGGGAGCGCCATCGAAAGGGTCGTCATTCATCCAAGTGTAGTCTTCAACTCCGAGGTCGTCCATCCAGTCCTTGTGGATTCGCAGGACGCGCATATTGTAGGCCGGCTGCTGGTCCTCAGGCATAAGCATGCATGCCGGGGCCAAGCATCTCCAATCAGGTAAGTGTGCAGTGGTAATGTCATCCGGTTGCCTAAAGATATTACTCATGTCTTCAATCGTATGGAAGAAAAGGCGAAAAGGGACCAGACACAGGTTGAGAACCCCCAGCGGAAAGGCAACAAATGGTGAGGCGCCAAACAAGGACATGGACAAAATCAATAAGAAGAAGCCGGAGAACGGGGCTCCCGAAGACAAGAACAAACGCAATGGGACTGGACGATCCATGAGCAGAGAGCAGCCAAAAGGAGGAGGACAAAATGAGCATAGCACACAATTTTCCCTTGCCGTTTTGGCCTGCTTGTTTCGTCCGATCTGTTTTGTCCCGTCCCTCTCTCTGGCCGCGTCGGGTTGTAAATTTTCGAGTGACCCAAATACCGCAGCTGCTTTGACGCGTTATCCTTTCAATACCACAGCCTCCACATCTCGAAATTTCTCGCGGCTATCAAGAGCCAACAAGGTAAGAATTTTCTCGGCCTCCCTCCAGATCGAAGTATACAATTCCCTCTCTTTTCGTCCTTTATTTTGTATTCACTTCTGTTCATGTTTACCACGCGGAACTTCGATTACAATTTTTCGTGATCATCCACGCATCACCTTTCGGGATTCTCACGAGATTCTCACATCATTCCTCCACCGCAATATCCCATGATGCCTTCACAGCTCACTGTGGGCCAAGATGGACAGTGTCCGGGTTGCCGTCAGGCGTCCCCAGAATGTATGGTGTTCACTTGCCTCGACATCTTCATTTTCTCTTACGTCTCCTTCCTCCTCTCTCGCGAGGAGAAACGTCAAGGATATCCGAAGGCTTTTCAAATCCCACAGACCACCACAACGACACACGTTGACTACCTCTTTCTCCCTCACCGCTACTCACTGCTGTCCAGATTGTTGTGCAAAGCATCAGCAAATTCTGTCTCTCGTTCAGACACTTGCTAAGAAAAAGAACGCTAACTTTTTTCTACTCCGTCTAGCAGCATCACCAAACTCTCGCCGTTTTTGTCGTCTCTCCCTCCGCTCCTTCTTCTCCGGCACCAGCTCCCCAGCCGCCACCATGGTCGCCGCCTTTGCTGCCGCCTTCACCGCCGCCGCCGCCAAACTTTGGGGCTTCATTGCCCAGAGGGCTCTGTCCCTCACCACCACAACCACCACTGACGCCGCCGCTGCCGCTGCTCCTGGCTCTCCCGCGGCCCCCTCCCCCGGGCGCTCAGCCTAGCAAGCTGCGCCCTTGGCGGAGGTGGGTCTGCGCTTCGCCGGCTTCGCACCCTGGTCTTTGACCGCCCCTGCTCCTGCCTCGTCTCCTGCCTCGTCTCCTGCCTCGTCTCCTCCCCCGGGTCTTGCCACCCTTCCCCCGACGCCCGTCTTGTCGGCCGCCTCCTCGCCACTCTCTGTCCCGTCGCCGCTTGCCCTGCCGCAGCCGGCCCTGCGCGCCCCGTTGCCGCTTGCCCTCTCCCCGCTCGCTCTGCCGCCGCCTGCCTTTTCCCCGCCTGGCTCGCCTGGTCTCTTTGCTCGTCACCGCCGCCGCCGCCAGGTCTCGGCTTCTCTCGTGCTGCCCTCGCCGCCGGGGCCAGGCACCCGGGCGCCGCCCAGCTCGCCGGTTCTTCTGGGCTCCCTGGGCCGTGATAACCCTCGCCGCTCCGCCGTCCCTGCGGTGGAGGAGTATTTCCGCCAGCTACCACAAGGGGGACGCTGAGCGAAGCAAAAGAAGCAGTGGGCATACCGTGCGGCGTTCGTTGGTCCCTGCCAGGATTTAGGGAAGGGAAGTGGAGGATTATCCCGGTTAGAGCTGGTGTGCTGCTGAGGATGGGGTTTATGTTTGAGACTTGGTAGTAGTGGATTGGTACATGTATGAAGAGGAGAATTCATTTCTTGGGAAGAGGGAAGATGGGTACATGTATGCAGGGGAGGACGCTTAGGTATATCTTGGGAAGAGAAGGAATAATGGTAGGGGTACATGTATGAAGGGGAGGATTTTTAGGAAGTAGAATGACTGTGAGTTTGGGTTTCTAGTGGCTGGCAGACGTGCATGAGGAGGGGAGTGAACTGGATGAATTGACTGTTCTTTTGGGGGCTCGGAACTCCAGCATGCCCTTTTGATGCAAGACGCAATATGATGTGAAATGTGACTGATGACACAGATCTCGTGCTCCCAGAACCGCCGCAAATTCGATTGTCATTTTGACTTTTCAATCTTCTACTCAACCAGCTAAGCCCGTTTGACAGACGACGGCAGTGATCGTATAGCTCGAGGGAGGGCCCCAAGCCGAGACTTCGCTGTGTGTTATGACAGCGACGATGATTCTCATGTCGGGGTCCTTGTTGGTTGGTAGTGCGGGCATGCTATAGATACTCGAGGCTACCTTATCCAGTGCCTGATGGCTTCCATCTGTAGCCCCGGGGGCACTTTCATACGCGTGGGTTGAAAACAAGAAAACTCATGAGATCTCAATCATCAACATTCCCGGAGAGTGCGCGAGACTCAAACTTCCTATTACAGCTTCACTGGATACATATATCTCCTTGCGACATCTCCGAGATATGTTTCAGCGGATTGGTCCTTTCACAGTCGTCCGCAAAGTCGGAGACTTGGCCTATGAACTGGACATCCCCGACACTTGGAAGATACACAACATGAGATCATCTCCATCGCTCACCTGAGGGAATATCCCGAAGGCGAGGACCCTTACAATAGGCCTAGAGACTCGCCCCGAAGCTCACATCCTCGCCATTGGATCGACCAGATACATGTAGGTTCGGTATCTCTAGGGCAGGAACATGGCGATGATGGCCTATGGTGCGGCAACCGAAATCTGTATCAACCAAAAGGGATGTAATCTTCACTCAGCTGGATATATGGTCCTCGCTTGGCTTGGGCCGTCGACTGACCATTTGGATGAATTTACCTCCATGGATACGTGGTCCAGTCCAGCGCGAACCTCGCATTGCCGTCGGCCTCGGAGTCTGGGGTCTTTGCCGTCTTTGTCGGGGATCAGCAGGCACATTGGTCTTTTCCTTGCTCGATGAAATGCTAGCAGTAAGCTGTGCTCCTTGAGTCAGAGCCTTGATCCTGTTGATCTTCGAGCTCAGGTCCTCGGTAGCCACGTCTCCGGTTGACGTCGAGCTCAGCAAAGCACGGTGGGGCATCTGTGGCAGGGACTCGACCAAAGACTCGAATCTTCGGCGGTCTTTCTCGGACAAGGTTTGGACCCAGCGGATCTGGAGGTTTCCGTAGATGAAATCGAAGACTCCCCGCAAATCTCGTTGCACGGCCGGATTCGACAAGTCCAGAATAATGGATAGTTGATCGAAAGGCTGGTAATTCGATGCAGATGATGCAGATGACGCGTGGAAGTAGGGATAATGATTGGATAATGAAAGCTAGACGCGGGTGGATGTGCCGAATGACGTCTCCACGGATAAACT